ATTTGTGGAAAGATTCACTGGAGAAGCTCAATATCAGCAGTGAAAACCAGGCCAGGTGCTGATTGTGGGACAGACCACCAACTATTCATATGCAAATTCAAGCTGAAGTTGAGGAAAATTAAGCCAAGTCCATGGGAAACAAGATTTGACCTTAAGTCTGTCCCACTAGGATTTCAAAACCATCTCAGGAACAGGTTTGAGCACCAATGAGCACAGACCAAATGAGCTCTGGGAGGATATCAAGAAAATCATCCATGAAGAATGCAAAAGATCATTACAAAGTCTAAAGAAGAAAAGACCAAGATGGATGTCAGCTGAGACTCTGAGTATTGCATTAGAGCACCGAGAGGCCAAAGCTAAAGGAAGAAATCAAGAAATCAAAGAGCTGAATAGAAAATTTCAAAAGGCAGCTCGGAACAACAAAGCAAGATACTATAATGAAATATGCAGAGAGCTGGAGTCAGAAAATGAAAAGGGCTGGACTTGCTCAGTGTGTCTTAAGCTGAAGGAGTTGAAAAATTCAAGCCACGGGTGGCAATACTTAAGGACAGTTTGAGTAGAATATTGAATGATCCAGGATGTATAAAAAAGAAGATGGAAGTGGTACACAGTCACTGAATCAGAAGGAACTGGCTGATGCAGAGGAATTTCATGAAATAACATATGAGTAAGAACCTATGGTGATGGAGGAAGTTCAAGTTGCTATGAAGAAATTGGCAAAAAACAAGGCTCCAGGAGTTGACTGCATACCAATTGATTTATTTCAACAAACAGATGCTGTCCTGGATGTGCTCACTAAGTTTTGCCAGGAAATCTGGAGGACAGCCAGCTGGCGAACTGACTGCAAGAAATCGATATTTGTTCCCATTCCAAAGAAAGGTGACCCAACAGAGTGTGGAAATTATCTAACAATATCTTTGATATCACATGCAAGCAAGATTCTGCTGAAAATTACCCCAAAACGTTTGGAACAATATGTCAATAGAGAACTGCCAGATGTGCAGGCTGGATTTAGACGAGGTCGTGGTACTAGGGATATTACAGCTAATGTAAGACGGATCTTGGCAGAAAGCAGAGAATACCAGAAAAATGTCTATCTGTGCTTCATTCACTATGCAAAGGCTTTTGACTGTGTGGATCACACAAGCTATGGCTGACTCTGAGAAGAATGGAATCCCAGAACATTTGATCGTGCTAATGTGAAACCTATACTTGGATCAGGAGGCAGTCATCAACACAGCGCAGGGAGACACTGGATGGTTCAAAATCAAGAAAGGGGTCCGTCAGAGATGTATTTTGTCTCCATACCTTTTCAATCTGTATGCAGAACAGATCATCCGAGACGCTGGGCTGTACGAGGAGGAATGTGGCATCAGGATTGGTGGAAGAATCGTCAACAACCTGCATTATGCAGATGACACAACTGGCTGAAACTGAGGAGGACCTGAAGCGCTTGCTGCAGAATGTCAAGGACTGCAGTCTTCAATATGGATTGAAGCTCAGTATCAAGAAAACAAAGATTCTCACCACTGGGCCAATTGGCAGCATCAGTACGGATGGTGAAGAGATTGAGATAGTTAACAGTTTTAGTTTACTTGGCTCCACAGTCAACACTCTTGTTAACAGCAGCCAGGAAATCAGGAGACGAATTGCATTGGGAAAGTCAGCTGTCAGGGACCTCTCAAGAGTACTGAAGTGCAACGACGTCAGGCTGGAGACTAAGGTGCACTGGATCCAGGCTATAGTCTTTGCAATTACATCCTATGCACCAGAGAGTTGGACAGTGAATAGGGATGATAGAAAGAGAATTGATGCCATTGCGCTGTAGTGCTGGAGAAGAGTGTTGAATATACCATGGACTGCTAGGAGAACAAACAGGTTTGTCTTGGAGAGGGTGAACCCAGAATGTTCCCTGGAGTCAAGGATTCTGAAGCTTTGTCTGACATACTTTGGGCATGTTGCAAGGAGGGACTGGTCCTTGGAGAGGGACATCATGTTTGGAAGAGTGGAGGGACAGTGCAGGAGAGGAAGACCCTTGATGAGGTGGATCGATTCTGTGAGTGGAGTGGTGGGAATGAAGGTGTTTGAGACAGCAAGGTTGGCACAGGATAGAACGGTGTTCAGGGCTCTTGTATGTAGGGTCGCTATGAGTTGCAAACTACTCGATGGCACATAACAACAACAACAACATAACTTTTTACTGTGTGGATCATAACAAACTATGGCTGACTCTGAGAAGAATGTGAATCCCAAAGCACTTGATGGTTCTAATGCTAAACCTATACTTGGACTCGGAGGCAGTCGTCAGAACAGAGCAACAGAACACTGCATGGTTCAAAACTGGGAAGGGTGTACGCCAGGGATTCATCCTATCTCCATACCTTTTCAACCTGTATATAGAACAGATTATCTGGGGGGCTGGGCTCTATGAGGAGACATGTGGGGTCAAGATTGATAGAAGATCTATCAACAATCTGCATTATGCAGATGACACAACCCTGCTTGCTGAAACTGAGGAAGACCTGAAGCCCTTGCTTCAGAGGGTCAAGGACTGCAGCCTCCAATATGGATTGAGGCTCAATGTCAAGAAGACAAAGATACTCATGACTGGACCAATTGGCAGCATCAGGATGGATGGTGAAGAGATTGTGATTGTTCACAGCTTCAGTTTGCTCGCCTCCACAGTCAACACTCTTGGCACCAGTAGCTAGGAAACTAAAAGGAGTATTGCGATGGGAAAGTCTGCTGTTAGGGACCTCTCCAAAGTACTGCAGAGCAATGGTGTCTCTCTGGAGACTAGGGTGTGTCTGATACAGGCCATGGTCTTTGTCATCACTTGTTATGCATCAGAGAGTTGGACAATGACCAAGGAGGATAGAAGGAGAATTGATGCCTTTGAGCTGTGGTGCTGGAGAAGAGTATTGAGAGTACCATGGACTGCTAGGAAAACAAACAGATTCATCCTGGAAAGGGTTAAACCGGGCAGCTCCTTGGAGGCAAGGATTCTGAGGCTCCGTCTAGCATACTTTGGACATGTTGTAAGGAGGGACAGGTCCTTGGAGAAGGACATCATGCTTGGGAGGGTGGAGAGACAGCTCAGGCGGGGAAGGCCCTCTATGAAGTCGATTGATTCAGTGACTGGGGTAATCAGATGGGAGTGTCAGAGACAGAGTGATTGGCACAGGACAGAGCAGAGTTTAGGACTGTTGTACATAGGGTCGGTATGAGTCTCAAGTGACTTGATGGCACATAACAACAACAACAACAACAACATACTAACTTTTACCTTTACATACTGAAATTCTTGTTAATTCAGTCAATGTGCTGTTTTGAGCCATTTAAGAATCTCTAGGGCAAAATGTCCCTGGGCTAGCAGCAGCTCAAAGAGAGTTTCCGTGGGAGTGGGGATGTTCTGCAGGAATTTCAGGCACATAGACAGAACTGTGTGTTATCTAAGGGAGCTGATGAGCATTGTTTGTTGTTGTTGTTATGTGCCGTCGAGTCGTTTGAGACTTATAGCGACCCTATGTACAACAGCCCTAAACCCTGCTCTATCCTGTGCCAATCGCATTGCCTCTGACACACCCATCCCGATTACCCCAGTCACTGAATCAACCCATCTCATAGAGGGTCTTCCCCTCCTGTGCTGTCCCTCTACTCTACCCAGCATGATGTCCCTCTCTAAAGACCTGTTCTCTCCTTACAACATGTCCAAAGTATGTCAGACGAAGCCCCAGAATCCTTGCCTCCAAGGAGCAGCCTGGTTTAACCCTATCTAGGATGAATCTATTTGTTTTCTTGGCAGTCCATGGGACATTCAATGCTCTTCTCCAGCACCACAGCTCAATGGCGTCAATTCTCCTTCTATCCTCCTGGGTCATTGTCCAACTCTCTGATGCGTAACAAGTGATTGCAAAGACCATGGCCTGTATCAGGCACGCCTTTGTCTCCAAAGAGACATCGTTGCTCTTGAGTACTTTAGAGAGGTCCCTAACATCAGACTTTCCCATCTCAATACATTTTTTTATTTCCTGGCTACTGGTGCCAGGAGTGTTGACCATGGAGCTGAGCAAACTGAAGCTGTGAACAATCTTAATCTCTTCACCATCCATCCTGATGCTACCGATTGGTCCAGTGGTGAGAATTTTTGGCTTCCTGACATTGAGCCTCAGTCCATATTGAAGGCTGCAGTCCTTGACCCTCTGCAGTAAGTGCATGAGGTCCTCCTTAGTTTCAGCAAGCAGGGTTAGGTGATGTAAATATGCAGTAAACAATAGTAAATTAAAATAGACTGGCAATGGAGAGGGAAGATGCTTTTTCAGGACTGATGTTCCTTCCACATAGAAGGAACTCAATTTATGTGCTACTTTTTGTTCTTTCCTGCCTGTGTACTCATCCAACCCAGAGAAGGAATAGGGACTTTAATCTTATCAGATTTGAAAAAGTCCTTCTTGGCAGCACCATGTTCACAGTGGAGAAGGCACCATGTCCTTGCTCAGATCTGCTGGTGACTGAATGGCACCTCTACTGCTTGGGCTCAGCCTTAGGAAGAACATCTCCTCATGGATAGGAAACAATCTGTTCACCCCCTCTTTATAGTTATTGAGGGCAATGGATTGACTCTTATCTGTCTTCCTCATTGGTCTTATTTCTCAACAAGTTCAGTAGCCATATGGGAAGGGGTCCTGTGACACAGTGTCTGACCCCACTGCTTCCTGGTAATTATCAATACCCCCCAACATTTCCTCACCCCACCTTCAGGTGTCTCTTGGCCTTCACTGCAGTTTTCCAGCACTCCGTCTCCTGCAGGACCCTCCCTGGATGACCTCTGTGACATCTCTGGTATGCTCTCATGGTCTTCCTTCGCCAGCTCAGAGTGGGGATAATGTCGTGTCCACCAGGTCAGGCGAGCTAACTGGAGTGAAATAAAAAGAAAAGAAAAGAAAGAAAAAACCAACCCCAAACATACCATCTTGAGTCAGTTGTCTTTGACAAGAAATCCTACAGAGAAAGAAGGCTTCATTCATGGGAGGTCATCTGAGGCCTGGGCTCTATACTGGACTACCTTTTCTTCAAAACTTAACTGTTACTGAATACTTGCCCTACATAAGGATTGCACTGGGTGCTGGCACTCAGAGCCATAAACTGATGCCATGGAGATCACACATTGACAAAGGAGAAGTAGAGCTAGACAGAAATAAAAGTGATGAAAAACAAAGGCCTTCCAAGGTCAGACTGGGGAGTCAATTCTTTTTTTTCTTTCTTACCTTGCAGGTCAGTGAGAAACACTACAGACTATAGGCAAAGAGAAATAAAAAAGAGAAACTTAAACTTGTTGCCATGAGTTGGTCATCAAGTTGGCAATGACTTGTAGCTGATGCCCTAGCGAGTTTTGGGGAGACTGTAAATGGCACAGGATTGTATCTCCATCTTTCTCTTGCAGAACCTCTGGTAGAGTAGAGCTGTGAGAGAGGCCTGGCCTTTTGGGTAGCAGCACAATTCCCACAGAAACCGCCACCAGAGCTTCAGAGCCCCGGAGCTTCTGAGCACACTACCAGAGAGCATCTTCCTTCAGCAAAGAGGAGTGACTAGAAATGCTAGGATTTTGGAAAATTTTTCAAAATATATTAAATGAAGGATGCAAAAGTGAGACAGGACATATTTAAGAAATGAGGAAATAGACTGGAAGGAGCAGTCTCAAACAATGTTAAAATAAAGCCAAATTCCTTGACCGAGAGTTGATTTTTGACCCTCTGGAACAGAGTAGAACTGCCTTGAGGGGTTTTCAAGGCTGTTTGCCATGTCCTTCACCTGTAGAGGAAAGGATGCAGGTGGGGGTAGGGTGGGGTTCCAGAAACAGCATTTAGAGTAAGCAGCTGAGTGTTTTCTTACTGTATCACTAAGGATCCAACTAAGAAATGTAACCAAATCCATATCATTGAGTCAATTCCAAGTTATTTTAGATGAAATAAATTGCTTTTCCCTTAGCATGCCTCAAGAATATTTGCATGGCAACAGAGGAGACCATAACCCCGAGGCATAAAACTTAAATGGTGCGATTGGAGACACTAGGAATAGGGGAGAAGAATTTGTTTGAGATCTCATTGTATGCATGCCTCTTACCTTTTCCTCAGGGATGGGTGTTGTACAGAGGCTAACAGTAATGATAACAATGGCAGTGAGCCCACAGAGGAGAAGTGCAAAATAAAGATAATGGAAGTGCTTGAGCACCGGAGGCCTTCTGTCCACCTCTCCACAGGCTGGGGCTGGGAAGGAGAACTCCAGGATCATGCGTAGAAGCCCCACTCCCAGGCCAAACATGAGGCCCCAGAAGGCTCCCTGTGGAGAGAAGGCAGGGTGAGAACCAGGGGGCAACACTAGGAGCAAAAGTCATTTTGTCCCCGAATAGTTCTCCCAATGGCTTAGTGAATGTCTGTGAGTCTGCTCTAGTACATTCCCAGTATAGACTGACGCTCTTGGTCAACTTAGATGGTATGTTGTGATATTTTGGAAAAGAGAGGACTGCAGAGTCAGAGTAAGATTTTAATCCTGCCTCTGTTTTGTAAAGTCTGAATCAGTAATTCATTCTCACTGCATGGAGCTTCCTCTGTGCTAGATAGTAATTGTGGTGGTGGTGATGTACTGTAGAATTAGAACTGAACTATAGCTGACCCTTCAGGGGGTTCTCGGAGGCAGTTAATTGCACGGGAAGAGACTGCCCATCTTTCTACTGTGGGGCAACTGGTGGACTCTAAACTCCCCTTCTGACTTTTAGTTTTAATGAATCAGAAATTAGACCAGAGATCTCCCTCCTGTTACTTCTGGGCATTTTACCTGCCCGCTTTATCTATCTATCTATCTATCTATCTATCTATCTATCTATCTATCTATCTATCTATCTATCTATCATCTATCATCATCTTTTAGCTAGCTATCCATTCATCTACCTATCTTCTATTTCTTAAAGCCCTGGTATCTCTCATCTTTCTTCATTATAATACCTTTTACTCTTAAATGATGCTTATTTCTAGTAGTAAGATTCAGATAACTTATATTTTTAAAATATGAGATGGTGACCCTGATTATGAAAACTCTGGAGTGAGCAGATGCAGGCCGAATTCAACTGGATCTTGCTGTGTCACAGTTACCAGCACGATTCTTGTTGTTAGGTGATCCTGAGTCCATTTTTGACTGAGAGTGACCTCATCTAACAGAATAGAGCTGCCCCATAGGGTTTTGTAGGCTGTAAAATTATCTTTGCAGACTCAAATTTCCAGATCTTTCTTCCACAGATCCATTAGATAGGTTTGAACTTTCAGCCTTTAAATGAACAGCTAAGTCTATAACTATTGCGTTAAATAAGGCCTTGATCAACCAGTAAGAACTCATTGCTGCTGAGTAGATTCCAACCTACAATGATCCTACAGGGCAGAGTCGAAGTCTGTAATTTTTACAGAATCAGATTGGCACATCTTTCTCCTATGAAGAGGCTGATCATCTCAAACCACTAACTTTTAGGTTAATATTCAAGTGCTCAACCACTGTGCTACCAGGGTTCCTATCAGTAAGATTTTTTGTTATTGCTATTATGTGCTCATAGCGACCCTTTGAATCTGAAGAAGGGATCTGAACCTTGTCCTATCCAGTTCCATCATCATTATCTCTGGTATACTTGAGCCCATTGTTAAAGTCCTGGTGTTAATCCATCTCCTTGAGGGTCTTCCTCTCTTTGACTGAGTCTCCACATTTCCAAGCATGGTATCCCTTTCCAAGGACTGGTGCCTGCCCACAACGTGTCCAAAACACATCACAAGAAGTTACACTATCCTTGCTTCCTTGCTTTTAAGGAGCACCCACATTGCACTTTCTCCAAGACATTTGTTTGTTCTTCAGTAATCCATGGGATATTCAAAACTCTTTTCCATAGATTCTTCTTCTGCCATCCTTGCTCTGCAAATAATAGACCACAAGAGAAACTTTGCTTAATTATTTTTCTGGAGTGGAGTTCCTATGTACTCTCTTCAAAGGACCTTGAGCTCTTGTGCCATTTTCTCTGCAGAGTTCATTAACTCTCCGATGTACAAGAGGTTGGTTTTTGTTAGTAGAGGTCATCAAGTTACTTTCAACTCAAAGCAACCCAATTTACGCCAGGACAACATTTTACCCTGTCCTGAGCCATCCTCACAATTATTACTGTTTGGACATATTGTTGCAGTCACTGTCAGTCCTTTTTTTTTTTTACCCCCCCCCTTACTATCTTACTCTCTCCCAACCATGAGGCACTTTTGCAGAGACTGGCTTCTCAAAGTAGGCCAGATTAAGTCTTGCCACCCTCATGTCTAAGGAGCATACGTCTTCTAAAACACAAGATTTTTTCATTTTTCCAGAAGTCCATGGAATATTCAATATTCTTTGCTAATATCATAATTCAAATATATCAGTTCTTCTTTGGTCTTTATTAATTGTCCAGATTTTGTATGCATATAAAGTAATTGAAATTGCCATGGCTTGTATCAGGCTCAACTTAGACCTTAAAGTGACACCGTTGCTTTTCATCATTTTAAAGAAATCTTTTGCAGCAGATTTTCCTGATCTGATAGGCTGTTTGATTTCATGACTGTTGCTTCCATGGGTGCTGATTATAGAATAGATCCAAGTGAAATGAAACCCTTGACAACTTCAATTTGTTTGTCCTACTATGTTGGCTTGTGTGTTGCTGTGAGGCTGAAAGCTAAGTCACTGGTATTTCAAATACGAGCAGAGTCACCCATGGTGGACAGGTGTCAGGGACTCTTCCACATTGAGACAGACAAGGAAAAGGACCTGGCAATCTACTTGTGAAAAAAAAATAGTAAAAACTTTCTGAATAGCCAAACGTCAGAGTTAAGCTTGTCTTTTATACTGTCCTGAGGAGTTACCAAACTTACAGTTCGGTGCCACACGCTTCCTGCCCGTCTCCTTGTTGGTTGTCAGTGTAGTTAGTTAATGTGTGCGCAGGTCCCTGTGACTGTACCTTTATCCCTTTTATTCTCATTGCTCTTGCTTTATCTAGATGTGGACCCTGCTAGTAATTGAAACAGAACAAACCCTAAAGGTCTTCCCTTTCATTTTTCATCTTCATATCCACTGTTTCTCCTCTCTGGAATTTTCTTCCCCCACCAGGTAACCCTTCAACTTTCAGATGCCACTCTATCCAGGAAGATTTCCCTGGCCCTTTTGTAGGCACCCTGCTATAAGATAGTGTTGTTGTTGTTAGGTGCCGTCGAGTCATAGATGACTCATAGTGACCCTATTAACGAAAGGCCTGAGCACAGTTCATAGGGTTTCCAGAGGTAAGCTATTTCAGAAGTGGATGCCACTCCTGCTTCCAAGCTTGTTTTACTGGGGAAGCTCCACAAAACACTGTCCACCCTGGGTGACCATTATCACATTTGACACATCAGTGTCACAATGTTCAGTTTCACAGCAACCATGAGTTACCTCTGTACAGCAATGCACAGACCGGTACTATACCACTTAGAAGAATGTTTGACAAAAAACAATTTAAGGCCTGAGAGCTGTAGATGCTTACTTAATATCTCTTTTCCCTGCTGACCACTGATGCCTGGTCTGCCTTAACCTTGTAAATGATTGCATCCCTAAAGCCTCCAAAGTAAGACTGACAAACTTCCTGAGTGAAGGAATCATCTAGCTCTGATGTTGGGTTGGGAGATAGAAGTTTAGAAGACAGCCGGCTTGCCCAGGGATATACAGAATGAGTTATTGCTAGATCAAGACCCTTAGGCTTCTGTTGTCTGGGAAAGATGGGGTGATGCTGCACTCACGGGCTCTGTGACTCTCTTACAGAAGATGGCCAGTAAGAAGAGGGCAGTGATAGGTGGGGCCAGGTAGCTGGTGACGGACTGGATGTAGTCGAAGAGCTGCCCACTGTTGGCACTTTGGATGATGGGGATCCACAGGACGCTGATGACGACCAGGAACACCACAAACACTCTGCCAGGGAGGGCAAAAGGCTCAGTGAGGAGCACGTGGGTGGGCATGACATGGGGGAAGGAGGGACACACAGCACACCAGAGAGGAGGGGAGGAAGGAAAATGTGCAGTTATTAAAGTCAGAGCCTATTAAAAAGTCAAATTCTCAACTCTTAAGACTCCCTAACTCTTCACTGTCAAAATCCCAGAAACTCGGAGTTTGAACACAGTAGTATTTTTTTAATTGGAAGTTATCAAGGTCACTTTATGTATCTTTCATTTGGTAGAGGAATTGCAACTTTCCAACTACCCCTGAGTACATAGCTTCTTGTCTTTCTTGGTTTTACTAATTGTTCCCATTCAACGCTGCAAAGAACAATTTTTTTTCTCCAAGAGACTCCATTCTCTGGAACGTCTCTCTCCTCTGGGTTCCTCCAGCTCTGAACCTTTATTTCTTACACTGGGATTAGGGTGGTAAACCCACATTTCCCAACTCTTGACTCCTCTTTAGTGAAACTTATCTGTGTTAAGTTCCTAGAAACCTCTATGTGTTGGTTTTTTTAAAATTTTTTTTATTTCATTATTTTTTGTGTGTACCGTCAAATCAGATCTGACTGGTACAGGAGGAGATTGTTTCTCCTTCTCCAGCAGAGCATCTGGTGGATTTGAACTGTGCACCTCTGAGTTTGCAGTTGCAGATTCTTGCCACTAGGCCACCAAAGCTCGCCTGTTTGTTCGTGGTTTTTTTTTTTTAAATAAAATTTTTAAATTATGTTGGTTTACTTACAAAGGTCTCTGTGGTTGTGCAGCTGTGTGGACAAGAAGATGAAAAAGTCTTCTTTGCTCAGTTGGGTACAATAATACATATAGACAGTAGATGGTGCCCAAACCCAGTGATGGATGAAAGAAGCCGGCAAAACTCAGCAGTTAGTGTGCCCAGGTAAAAGGACCCTTCCTTAGATCCAGATCTATTCTTCCTGCTCCTTTTCCTCTGTCCTCTGTGGGCCTTTCTTAGAAGCAGCAGCTACCCAAGTGGCCTCTTTTTCTCATCTTTCTTATTTTTGCACAACTTCCCCATGGTCTTCCTATGGTCAAGCTCTGTACGTGGGGCTAAGGACGCAGATGAGAAGGCAGGTAAAAGGAATTCATTGTGCAAACGTGCAAAAGGCATCTGGTGGAAGAAGCAGTAAGGAAAAATACAGGAATACGTGAAAGAAGAGGATATCTAAACTCAATTACACCCTAGAAAGGAAGAAGAGAGCGCTTGAATCCAGAAAACCAAGTTACAGAACTTGACGTCATTGAGCAAAGATTTCAGAGTCTCTTAACCTTGAATTAAGGAGGTCTGGTGCGCTGGTGGCTTTGTATTAGTTATAAACCCTAATACTATGGGGGGAGGGTGATCATTAAGCTATGTTTTCAAAAGTAACAGATTTTTTTTAAAGTGTCAGAGATGACTTTCTCTTCACTTTAATAGAACATGTGTGTTCACATGCACACACACACACACACAACACTGATGTCCAAAAAACAAAGTTAAAATTCTCTAGCCTATAAGGCTTTATCTTTCCACTGAAGGGTCAGCTATGAGTTGTTTTGGAATTGACAGTTTGCAACAACAACCTTATGTTCAAAAATTTGCATCACTTGGGGAAACCTTCATATTTCCATCAAGACAAGCATCTCACAGAATTCTGTGTTTCTGTCTGTCTTGTTAGCCTGTGAATACCCTGTGGACAGAGCCACATGACTTGTCTTTGTCCCCAGCATAAGAATATCATGTATGGAGGATATTCAGGGTGAGGCTGATGGATTAAATGAATAGCTCTTAAATCATTCTGGATGACATCTCAAGTTGGTCCAAAACCTAGGAAATAAGTTGCTTACTAACCTTCCTCATAACTTACGTAGCACACCTGTCACTTAAGTACTTTATCATTCCCCCCCCCCCCCCATTTACCCGAATAACCAGTTCCAAGAGGAAATTAATCAGGCAAGGGATTTTTCTGGACAGGAAGGTGTGGTCTTGAGTTGAGGAGAGACTTCCCCAAGGTCACCTGTAAAATGACCTGATTGCCCGTCTATAGTCCTGATAAATCACATTCCCTCTAACGAAAGCCAAGGCAGCAGGAGATAGGAGAAAGGAAGGGGGAGGAGGACTCTGTCTGCAGAGAGAGTGTGTTGTGGGGAGACTGGCCAGTGCACCTGCCCACCACCATCAGCTCCTGCTCTGTGGCCTTCTTGCGGAAGCGTTGCCAGACATCAATGGCGAACAACGTGCTGCTGCTGTTGAAGATGGAGGTGAGAGAGCTCATGAGCGCAGCCATGATCACGGCAATCATCAGGCCCCGCAGACCTGGAGAGAGACAAGCTGTGTGTGGACTGCTGGCTTGTTCTGCCAGGGGCCATGAGAGCTACAGTGACAAGCTGAGGCAGGGGTTTGCGGTGGAGCTAGGCTATAGAAGTCACTTGAAGAGGTTCCCATCCAGGACAGATCAGGAATTTGGATGTTCCACAGACCTAGATGCAAGAGCACTGGGTCTGTCAGGCTCTGCCTCTGACTTTCTTAGGGGTTGAGTGAATCAACAACATTCTCTAAGCTTCCTCTCCCTCATCTATAATATTAAGGTGGTCTGTGAGGTTCTCTGCAACTCTGATATCTCAGTCTGACCTCACCACTCTAAGTTACTGGGTCTCTAGGGAGAAGGTGACTGGTAATAATTTGAGTGTTTTGTACCTTCTCCATTGTCACTGTGGCACAGCAAAAATCTGTGACCTGAGAGATGAGAGCTCTAGCCCTACCTTAGCCAGCTGACTGATTTGGAGCTGGTTTCTTTCCAGGGCCCATTAGCTCTGATAGTAAGAAGCTGTGTTGCAATCCCAAAGGCCTGCACTTTGGAAGCCATAGGAGAAGGATGCTAACTGGTTTTGGTTTGTAGGTCAGTGTAAGCACTGACATTCACAGCATTGCCAGGACTCCTGGGTCACTCACTGGGAGCACCTCCCAATCCTCTGCCTCCCTCCCCCTGGACCTCCTTTATGTGCAATCCTCCCTCCATGCAGTACATCATGCAGTACAAACCTTCTAAAACCATACTCATGCACTTTCTGGACTAACACCACCCCGTTACCCTGCCCCATGACTCTATTGTCCTGAGAATAAATGCTGTAACTTCAAATGGGGTGTGGCGGTGACATTCTCTGAAGGGAAAGTTGCCTTCAGTCTCCCTCACTCCTGAAGTCCGCATGAAATTTAGACTTGAGACTCTCTATGTGGGCCTTTGCACACACAGCCTCTCTTCCCTGGAATAACATTTCCAGCTCCCTTCTGAATTTGTCTGCCTAAGATGTGCCTGGGACTCAGTTCTTGGTTTCTCTCCTCCATGAGATCTTTTGCCTCATGCCCTCAGACTACGTCAGCTGGTCAGCTGCCTCCTAGGGCTGCCTTAGCCCCCAGGGCATGAGCACCAGTTGGTCTTCTGCCATTGTTCTGCCATTGTCAATGTGGAGATAGAATGATACTTGAGAGCAGGGAGAGCCTTTTTTGTCTCTGCAGCTCCAGCACCAGGCCTCAGAGACAACATTGGCGAGCTTGCTCTCTTGTGCGCTCTCGCTCGCGCTCTCTCTCTCTCTCTCTCTCTCTCTGTGTGTGTGTGTGTGTGTGTGTGTGTGTGTTTGTGTGTTTGAGAGAGAGAGAGAAATACAGAGGTGAATATTTTCATCCTCTTTCCTGTTCTAGTCATTTCTAGTGTCCTGGGCAGTGGGAATTGAAGAAAGCTGGGAGGTGGGAGTGGAGTCGGAGACAAGAGAGATAAGGACTCACCGATGGGCATGAGAGCCATGACCAGCTTGGGGTAGGCGATGTTGGAGCATCCCACTCGGGCCCCACAGACCCTTTGGCAGATGTCAGGGTCCACACAGCCTACTTCATCTGCAGAAGAAGTAATGATGCTTAGAATTGGCTGATTTTAGATCCAGACTGAGCCTTTCGTGGTTGTCCCAATATTTGCTTTCCTTTACTTTAGGAAGATATTCATTAGTGGTGCTGGCAAAGCAAACACCCAGCAGTTCAGGGAAAAGATGGGTGAACATTACAGTTTATCTGTGTCTGCTAAATTTCTTTCCTGTGCTACCATCCTGAAAAACCTGACATGTTTCTTTGAGTTTTCAGTCTTATGTCTTTACAAAAGGCAAGTATTGTTGGCAGCTGGCAAGAATGTCATTAATTGCTTTTTTCTTATGTAAAAGGGAAAAATATTTTTAAATGGCCTGCAGACACAAATTTCTTCTACTGAAATACATAAAGATTAACCTCCAAAGCTCATATTTGCAATCTATTATTTCCTCCTTTTAGTGTTTTTATTAGTTCACATTTGTATACATTGTGTTTCATTCTGTACATTTTGTTTTATACTAGAATTCACTTACATTATTTTTCATACATTCATATACCTTTTTTATATAATTAATTACTATTGTTCTATGCCTATTACTACCCTATCTTTTCAAAGCCCTATTGAATCTTTCCTATTTTTACACACACACACACACACACACACACACACACACACACACCCCTTCCCTCCATTCAACCACTAACTTTAACATTAAAAGGTTTTCTGGCCCCGCTCCGGTCTAGCTTTGCCCAGAAACCTCTTCTCTGGAAGTTCCTTGTAAGCTCCACATCCTTGTACCCAAAGCAGGAGGAGACCCCGCCTTACCTGGGTACAGGGCCCTGCTGATCATACCAGGCATGATGATGAAGAACATGGGGAAGATCTTGAGGTAGCCCCCCAGCACAGAGCCTCCCTTGGCATGAGACAGATTCTTGGCAGAGAGAGACCTCTGTACAATGACCTGAAATGGAAGAAGTCAGCTACTTGGGCCAAGGAGGGTTCAGATTAGCTCAGTTGAGCTCAGATTGGTTCAGAGGGCTCAGTGGAGGTCTGACATAGGTCACAGACTGTCGCTAATCCAGTTCCAGGGTGAGTATTTGTCCTCTAAGAGTCTGAGTGTCTTGCTTTTTAGCTGGAAACCACTCCCTTTGTTATGGGCTAGGCAAGGATGGGTTCATTACCTGGTCTGTGCACCAGCACCAAGTAGCCAGGACTGTGAGCCCAAATATGAGGCCCGGCCAGGGGATATCTCCATTCACAGGGTCCCGGAGCATGTGGAAGGCATCAGGCCGTGGAAGGTGACAGGTAGTGTTGGGAACTGTGATGTTAGGGATTGCCTGCCTGTACTGTTGTTCCAGGCCTGAGTACCAGCCCACCTCCTGAAAACCTGTAGGGAAAGACCACTGTTAGTGAAACAGCTCCAAGACCCAACTTGCCCTGTCACTTGGTCCATCCAAAGTCTCATGCAGGAACATCTCAGGCTTAAAGCTTGTGTGGGCCACAGGGATGGGAAGAAAGACAGGACTCAGAGCTGAGAACCTGGCACTGGTGTGCAGAGTCTTCAGCCAAGATGAGGGATACAGGACTCTGTCAGTGGCATTCCAATCAAGTCATTAAATGACATTCAAACAAGTTAGAAAGGTAGAGGTGTATCAGGTATCTTCCTTACCCAGGAACATGAGGACCAGGGCTCCTCCCACCATGATCACGGTCTGTAGAGCATCTGTGTAGATCACAGCGGTGAGGCCCCCTAGGACCCAAGAATAAGATTCATCAGTTAGCATCCCTAAGGGGCTCCTCTCTGGACACCCAACTTGTACTTGACCATACTTTGGAGACCAGAAAGGACACAGAGCCCTTTAGGAGGTAGATTCTGCTTGTCTGTCATCCCCAGAATCTATTTTTCTTTGAATATAATAATTTATATACATTGTGCTTTATAGAATTAGTATATATAATATTATATAATAATTAGTATATATATTATATAATAACTATAGATCTATGCCTTTTATCACCCCATGTCTTCTTGACTGCCCCGCCCCTCTGTCAGGGTGGAGGGTACTCGAGTTTTGTTCTTTCTAATCTTGCTGCAGCGTCGGTGACTGTCGGGCCACAGCTCCCACACCTCTATATCTCGAGTCCATTCCTTTGCCTGTATCATTAACTCTATTAGCAATTATCTGTCCTTTCTTCTCTCAACAGTCATCTAAATACTCTCAGCTTTCAGGACCGACTTGAGCCAGCAGTAAGTCTGTCCTCAGCTCAGCTCCCAATGAACCTAGCCCTATATGAAGAGGCCCAGAGGAGACAGAAACAACCTGGCTGTGGATTTCCCTAGAGCACTTCAGTTACTCGAGTCCTGTGTCAAGTCCCTTCATGTCCATCCTGCTTCCTGGTGTTCTTGGCCTTTTTCAGGGTTTCAGGACTAGTGTGGGGCATGGGGAAGGGGAGGTACGTTAGTGTCTCTTAGTACCTCTCCTTTCCTGAGTCTTTCTGTCTGCCTATTTCTTATTTCCACCCTTGCTGTCTCCCTTTGCCTCTGTGGCACATGCCTTTCATCTTTTCCTCAGTCTATACACCTCTGGCTCGACTTCTCTTTTCCCCAGTTTCTGCTTTTTTTTTTTTTTTTTTTTTAATTCTCCTTCCCTCAATCAGTTTTCACTATAGTCTGTCTCCTTTTTCTGTATTTTTTACCTCTTTTAGCCTTTCTCTCTGTGTCTCTATATAAACATCCCCTGCTAACTCTCCTAGGCTCTCTTTTTCTATTCTTTATTCCTTCACTTCATTGTAAGCTTCCCTTGGCCTTACCTGCAATGGTGTAGACAGCTGTCACCACCAGCAGGATCACTGTGGAGAGATAAAGGTTCCAGCCCAGAGCCATCTGGATGAAAAGTGCTCCAGAGAAGATGTCAGTCTGTGGAGAACCAGGACCTAGGAGTCTTTATTATTCAAGAGCCTCCATGTGGCCACCATGGATATGCCACATACTCGCTCAGCTCATCCAGTGCCCTCAAATCTCACCATACAAAAATGTGAGCGTGACTGCCTTGCTAAGAATAATCTTGGAGACACTGAGAAATCATAAAAACTTCAAAGCAGATGTATGCTGCATACAGATTAAAAACTGAGAGTAATTTTGTACAGTATCCCTTATAGGAGGGGATATTAAAAGTGGTGAAAGGATTTAGTATAAGCCTGAGCACATGAAGAGGGACGTGGAGACTGGAGGCAAAGCCATCGGGGAGGATGAAGCAGGAGCCCAGAGGGTCCCTAGTTACTTTCCAATAGAACGGTGAGCCCCGTTGAGTTTCCAGATGGATCTACAACTGGCCTAATGAGGTAGAAGACCTGGCACTAAAAGACAAGGTTTTGCATAATTCATAGCTTTACATTTATTCTAGGACTTAAGGGAGGGCACAGTTGCAGCACAAATTAGTTTAGAGTTGTTCTCAAACATTGGTGAAACAAGAGACTTTGAAGAGTTTTACAGGCCTAGAGCTGGTAACTGACTAACTCAGCTACACTGAGTGTGTAGATGTTGATTGCATCCCATGATTGTTTAAGAATCAATTATTGGGTCTACAACCTGACAGTGTAGGAACAGACACCTGGATATGCCAGGGGACCTGAACTTTAGGTTCATTCCTCGAAGTGACCTTTTGTATGAATGTAAGGAGTTATTTGACCTATGTAGGTCTATTTTCTGAATTTATATATAAAAAAATAATGAGGACCATTTTAACTTTAAAGTTTTAGCCAATTAATGCATGGTTCCTGAATGAAGAATCAGTTAAAAGATAGACAAACTAACAAATAAATGAATTCTGGATTGTGAATTCTTAGGAGTTAAGGTTTATCATTCACTCAACAAATAGTTGACAAATAGGCACACAGAAAGACTCAGAAAGGAGAGGTACTAAGAGACACTAATGTACCTCTCCTTTGATTCCTCTGCTTCTGAAGTGACAGAGGTCTTGGACGTATGTATATCTTGGATATATGTATATCTTGGATATATGTAGACGTGGAGCTATATGTAGTAAAATTATCCATCCATCCACCCTCCCATTCTTCCATCCACTTTTCTATTTATCTCTTCTTTCACTCAATCTTTAACTGCCGGCTCTCCCAGTGACAAGTCAATGCCTTCAGCATTTTCCCTATTAAAATGTTCAATGAGATGACATGGTTACATCAGGACGGGTACCCACCGATATCTTGGTGAAGATGTAGAGGATTAGAGACAGGACGGACATGTACACCTGGATCCTCTGACCACCAAATCTCTTCTTCAGATACTGTGGCATTGTAACTACACCAGCTGCAATGTATACAGGCACGAAGATCCAGCCAAGGGCCAGGAGCAGCCAGGTTGCCTGGAAGAGTAGAGAGAATAAGATGTCCTGGTTGTAGATGCAGATTTAGGGGCAGTGCCCTTTCAGAGACTGTGCTGTGCTGTGAGAAAGCCCTAAGCAGGGAGATAAGAGGCAAGAGACTTGATCTTAGATCTTGCGAGTAGTTTGTGATTCCCTTCCCTTTTCCAGCCCTTGGCCTCCTCATCTGTAAAATGTATTCTTAAATCACCCTTGATGGGAAGGATTGCTATAGTGACTAGAACAAAGGCCTTAAGCATAGTGGGGATTGTGAAGATGGCACAGTATTGGGGAGGGTTTCACTCAGTTGTAAATAGAGTTTCTATGAGTCAGAATCACCTTGATGACACCTAACAACAATTCAGCATTCAATCTCTTCAAGTATTTGAGTTTCTTCCCAGTGCTAAAACCAAGAATGGGAATGATTGGAGTGGATTAAAGTTCTTTTATCCCCAGTCAGCCTCCATGCCACCTTCCTTTTCCTTACATTCCACTCAAAGCCACCCACAGCAAGGCCTCCAGCAGCTCCTGTCCCAGCCAGGCCAATGAACAAGCCACTTCCCACATTGCTGGACATAAGAGAGGCTCCAATCTGTAAGGCAAAAGGGAGTCAAGAGTCAGTGGGCAGTAATCTAAATAAAACCGGAATAAGACCATAGACTTTAGGAGCTGGATAGAAGGAAGAGAGCAGAATCAGTGCTTGGGAAATCTGAAGTAAGAATTGGAAGAGTTGCATGAGGAAGAGAGAAACTTGGGTTTTATTGGGTGCCAGGTGTGTGGCAGGCACTATGCTGGGCACTTCATTGCACCAGCAATCAGGAAATCAAAAGACAAATTGCATCAGGAAAATCTGCTGTCAGAGACCTCTCCAGGATGCTAAAGAACAATGATGTCACTCTAGAGACTAAGGTGCACCTGATCCAGGCCACAGTCTTCACAATTACCTGTTATGTATCAGAGAGCTGGACAGTGACCAAAGAGGTCAGAAACAGAATTGATGCCTTTGAGTTTTGGTGCTGGAGAAGACTATTGAACATACCATGGACTGCTAAGAGAACTAATAGGTCTGTCCTAGAGAAGGTTCAGCCAAACTATTCCTTGGAGGCAAGGATTTTGAGGCTCTGCCTCACATATTTTAGGTATATTGCCGGAGGGACCAATTCTTGGAGAAGGACATCATGCTTGGAAGGGCGGAGGGACAGCACAAGAGAAAAAGACAATAGGTGAGATTAATTGACTCAGTAACTAGGGTCATGAGAGAAAGTGTGTCAGAGAGAATGAGATTGGTCCAGAATAGAGCAGGGTTCAGAGCTGTTGTGCATAGAGTCACTGTGACTTGTGGTCAACCCGAGGGCACATAGCAACAACAACAAACAGAGGAAGGAACTAATTTTCTGTACAATGATCAGAGAAAGAAGGGAAGTTATGGGCCTTGAACATGGAAGGAGAGTTTTAAAGGTTTTTTGTTATACTCATTGTGATAAGGGCCGATAAAGATAAACTGAAGAGATTCTGGGAAGCCCCACTTAGTAGGATACAGGGAAGGCCCTCCTGCACCCTCATTCTGGTCAGCTCTCAGGCAAGGCCAGGGCTGCAGGTGGACTCACGACACTGAGTACAGGCCAGGACAAACTTTAAATTAACTTTCCTCCAGAAGATAATAACAACAATAAAGATGTTGTTGTTGTTGTTATGTGCCGTCGAGTCGTTTCCGACTCATAGCGACTCTTGCACAACAGCCCTAAACCCTGCTCTATCCTGCGCCAACCGCACCGCCTCTGACACACCCATCCCGATTACCCCAGTCACCAAATCAACCCATCTCAAGGAGGGTCTTCCCCTCCTGCGTTGTCCCTCAACCCTCCCAAGCATGATGTCCCTCTCCAAGGACCCGTCC